CTTATAGACATTGATTGTTTACTTACAGCCATCTATCCAGGACTACTAGTTGCGACGCTCACGGCGCCGATTCCGAGTTCCTTTGATCACGCGAAAGTTCTCTAGAGACAACGTGAGTGATCCCCCATGAATACAGCGCAACCCGAGATAGCACGGGGGGGATTAACCCATAGTATGATACGCAGGCTCTGATCTAAGTCTCACCTAAGCTCGTCCGGACCGGCCTGGTGCTTGCCAAACACCAGGCCATCTTCCTTAATTCCCCGATATGTTGCCCGATTTCACGCACTTTCAGTACAAAAAGCCGAGATTTCAGTACGAAAATTTATCGATAAATACAGTCACTCAGCAAAACTGCTAGTGAGATGGAGTTTCTCTTTGGCAGAGATTACCGTATCATAGATAGTGGGTGCTGCGCCATTGAGCTCCGTGTCGGGGGGGTGGTCTGCCCCATGGGGAAAAGAGAAATTCCGCTTCGCAAAGACTTTGACAGAGCGGCGTAGGAAAGGTTGTAAATCCTAACTACAGCCTAGAAATTTATCCCCAAAGCGACGCCACGGCATCAGCGGGGCTCCCAGGCTTTTCTTGATACTCTTATCATTTACCCTCCACAAGCCAGCATTGGTGCTAATTCAAGAACTTGAATATCATAGGTATCATACTTGCACGCAGGGATAAGAGTCATAGGTCGGAAGTTCGGGTTGGGGCATGCTAGCCGCTGCTTGCTCGTTCCCCTCCCTACGCTTCAGCAGCTGTAGTAATGCGAGGTATTGTCCCCGCCTATCTCACCAGAAGCATAGCAGTAAATGGTATACGGAGAAAACAGAGTGACCCAGATAATATTCAAGAATGCTATATAAGCCCCCTCCAGCCTTCTAGAAACGACATACCCGAAAGCCCCAACCAACCACCGACCATCCCAAAAGCCATCCCACAGCGCCCAAACACCCGCGCAAAGAGGATTGAATATGGACTTCTTGGAAATCTTGTAGCCATATCAAAATGTCAATAGGGTGCGGCCAGGAAATGGAAACCGACCCAGAGTATCTACCTTCAAATATCGCTGCGAGGTATCAATAATAAACTAGACAATACCATAATTTTTGTCTACGCCTCCGGAACCCCAAAAGATGCCATCAATCAACTACCGGTATGAGACTTAGGCATCTAGCCATCCGACCCCTCCGACCCCATCTATCGCCTACACCCTAGGATTGGTTCCCCAATCCATGCTCTCCCCCTTCCAGCTCTCCCATAGGTCTAAGTCTTTAAGTGTTGTCCATTTTTGGTCCACATCGAATAACAAAAAGAACTGGATCTCAAATAAGCTTGCACATGATTAGGTCGATCCAACCATATGTGGCAAAGACTACAAACAATGACCATGGCAAAATCCAGGAGGGTAAATTTAGTAATATCGTCAACTCCACTTCGGACTAGCAAAGGATATACTGTATACAAAAAGCTTGTGGGTCACTTTTTCTATTAGTGCCGGCTTTGACGAACCCAGTCACCATATCGTTTTGAAGCCTCCTCTGCAAGCCTAACCCCCGTCCCCCCCCCAGCACGTCGGTCTCCAAAATTCACCCTTATGTGCCCGCTGATACTGCGAAGAGTACGATAAGAGGGCTGTCAATCGAGATAACCATGTGGTCCAGAGCAGTTCACGACGGGAGCGCCCACCAGATTCGAAGAAACGGCCGGTCGCCGCACCCTACCATCGCTCAGGGCGCTCGTGCGGCCGAGTCAAAGCCGGGACCCCGCGTGGGAATTGCCAGTTCGGGTTTCAGTGATTCTCAAAACAAGGCATGTACAGTACGAGTACTTGAGTACCCTACCCGAGCATCCTACTCTACAAAAGCAATTCTTAACATCCGTATTCTTAGTCTTTATGCGGTAAATTCTGTTTTTCTCGGAGGTCCCGAGCTGATCGCCGGCGGCCAGATTGATCAAGCTCCAACCCCTTATTGACGGAAGCGTACGGATAGGGAGTTGGTCACGAAAATCGAAAGACCTGACTGAGGGTTATTAGTATCACAATATCGATTTCGAAAAGGTCGTATTTTTCACCCTCCCCCACGAACGCAATTTCCCATGGCCCCACACTTTCCTTATTCTGGCTTCCAACTTTACCTCTCAGTTAGAGAACCAACCCGAATCCTTAGCGTGGCGTCGAGAGAGAGAAAAGAAAGAAAAAAACTCGAGAAAGCGAAAGCTGAAGAACAAATCGACTGACCTTTTTCAAAATCAATAACAATCCCAAAACGCAACCACATTGGAGCAAGGACCCATGACACTGCTCGCCAGAACGAAAAAGCGTTTTTTGTGACGGGAATACCCGCCGGAAAATCCTTTTATCACCTCCGATTCCGGGTTTTCCACAGGGGATCGTAAAAAGTGCAATGTCTATTGTACTTTTATCGTAGATCCCGTCAACAACTTCCCCGGGTACAGTACAGTACAAGGTTGCCAATCCTTATTTTTTTTCACTTCTTCTCACGGCCCTCAGTTTAATTAGCACTTTGCAAGCCACCGAAACTCGAGAACCCACAATGCCAATATATCCGATTCCTCTGTGCGAACCTTTTCGGTTAACTATGCTGTACGCCCCCAGTGAACGAGCCATGGCGCAATAAAGCTCTGAAAAGGATAGGAAGAAGGAAAACAAAACACGGGGAGCTCCGAGATCCCTTTTTGTAAAGCAACCCCTGGGAAGGGTCACAACAATCTTTGACCCAGCGGTAACTAATACAGGTACGAGTACCCAATCCGAAGCTCGGAGAGCGTCCATCTCTTCCGATGCTGTTAATACAAGTACCGTATAACACACTGATTCGGGTAGAGTATGAGTAGCAGTAACCGTATTTGTTGTTTCTGAATTTAGAGAACGTTTGAGTATGGACAACGACGCCAAATAAGGTGGGGCGGAGAGCCATCCCTTATTGGCACAGAAGCCGTATTATCATACTTGTATTATACCAAATTACGATAATGCCTGATGAAAAGAGAAAAGAGCGGGATCAAATGGACGGGTATCATAGCCTGACAACAACGTTACACCCAAACATTTCCTCCAGCCCGATAATCCTTTCCCCTACCGGTACTTGCCTTCCAACCCCCCCTCTCATCATATGATATAAACCATCAGTTATTATAACCGGTAGTCATCGGACCTCACTCGCATCGCACAAAAACAACCAACCGAAGCTACTCGAGTACAGCATAAAGTCCTACAGTATCAGGAGCCGTGCTCTCTCTCTCTCCAACGGTTGATGTTCATCCCATAATAATCCCCCCCGCCCCCCGGCACGATTGCAGTAAGTACCGTACGAGTGCTGTACGATACGCCCAGCCTTCGCCCCTCTGGTCCCAGCATCGGGCTCCGGAATCCGAAAAACCGCCATCCAACCCTCATATTGACATCACATCACAGCAAAACCATCATCCATCCAATCCGATCCGATCCATTCATTCATGCATCCATAACAAGCAACCTTGCACAAAAATCCGAAATTGCACTTTGAAAAAGCAAGTTAAGGGGCGTCCTTGGCACCCGTAGATCCAAGTTCCCCCCCCAGGAACAGGGCGACTGGCCCATGGCCACCGCCAGAGAGGACGGTCAGGGGGAATCCACCCATTTTCCAGCACCGTGAGGGAAAAGCAAAGGGCAGGGAAAAAGAAAAGGGGAAATTTTTTCCCCTCCGGATCTCTGCAACTGACCTGAAGCAGCCATCACAAGGCATCACTCGTGGCGCATACCCTTTACTTGCTTTTTATCGTCTGATATCCCGCGGGGCAGTCGTGCATCGGGAGAACTTTGGCGATGAGGTATTATGCGAGAAGCGAGAGGAATGTAACCTATACGAGCGCATACCCCATCTTTTACGTGCCGTACTCGGCCCTTCAGCAAGCAAGATTGCTTGCTATATTGCACAGGGGAGTCCTCAGACCAGATCACCGCGATACGGTTCTCATCCTGGCTTACTAATCGGCCCCCTACCGTACCGTACACACTTATCCCCTTGGAGGGGATTTGCACACTCGCACCGTCGCACCATCGCACCATCGCACGCGAGTGACGTCCAGTGACGAGACTGGAGTGCCACCCCACCAAAGAGAGTCAAAGCCAGCCAGCCAGCCAGTCAGCCAGCCGTATCAGTTCAGTCCAGTCCAGTCCCGCTCGGCACATTAGCGTATCGTATCAGATCTCCCCAAGCCGATCCCGTCCAGCGCGATTTTTCTACCGCCCGGTTAGGAGTTACTGTACTTGTACAGTATCGTACCGTATCGAATCGAATCGTGTTGCATGGTGGCCCGCCCCTGGCTTGACAGGCAGACAGACCGACGAATGGCTCTTTCCAAATCCCCCTCCCCCCGAGCCACTGCGTCAACTGCGGCCGCGGGGCAGGCCACATTGCAGAAGCGGATTTGTACGATCGCCTCTCTGGAATTTCAATAGATCCTTATCCTAGCTCACCCGACCCGGCATCTGCTTTTGGAGAGGAGGGAAAACATGGTTCGCGACACGGGGAGCCTTCTGTTGTGCTCACCAATTCCAAAAGTCTATAATTGGGTTGGGAAAACTGCGTGCCAAGCCTCTGGAAACGGCAACCGGATTCGCGATTCTTGGCGGCAGCAGGGCCACCTATCGGCGAGTGGCTGGCGGCGGCTTATGGAAGGCATGGTACTCGTACTCGAATACCGGTACTGTACGGAAGGGGCGGGTGCGCATGTGCTCACTCCTCGTATGTATCCATGTATCATATGTGCGAGCATGATGTCGGTGGTATTTTGCCTCGTTTCATTTCTTGCATGATACTTGGGGTCTATGGATACGAGCGGACATCGACAGGCTACGGCGGTGAAGGGGGAAAACCCGTGTTGGATTTTAATAATTATCAGGAGGGAAATGAGCCAGAAAAAAACAATACTATGGACAGATACAGCGCAAACAGAGCAACAACACTTGCCAATGAAAATGGGCAGTGAGAGAAACCAAGCCATCAATCAAGTTAGTCAAGCCAACTCAAAAATTCTAGTCTAATGTATCGCAGCCTTCCTCGCCAACATTTTCTCATGCCGCTTAATAACCTCGGGTACAATCAGACTTTCAATCTCAACCTCCTCATTACCACCGCTGTTTCCGTCGCTCGTCGGCAGACGCACCCACTGAGCGCTCCCTTCCTCCACGAACAAGACCTCGTATTTTCGCGTAGCAAGGATGTTCCCGATGACAAGGTGGTGCGCGTAGCGGTCGAGACTCTGGTTGCACTTTTTGAGGAGGAGGGCGGGGTCCGTTTCCAACTGTAGCACACCAGACGAGAATGAGAATGTAGAAAACATATTATAAGGGGGGGAAGGGACTCCTACCTTGAAAGATACGATCATAGCTTCAGGAGCCCACTGTTCCACCAGTCGCTTGAGGAATTTGGGAACGGGGTCTAGGTCGATTACCAATTTCTTCCCACCCCCTCCCCCTCCAGGACTAGGGCCGGAAGTGCTCTCGGGCACGTCCCCGCTCTGAATCTTATGCTCGGCCATTCTATCCGGCGGGACAAAAAAGTCGGATACAGCGGCAGCGAGGTAGAACAAAGCCTCGTTCCCGAGACACCTCATCTCGCAGGCGATGGCACGGAGCGTGAATAGGTAACTGGTAACGGTCGTGAATGGGAGTAACAGTAACAACTTCTGCTCCTTCGCCTTCCGATACTTCCTAAGGACACTGAGCATCTCACGTCTATACTTTGCCTTGACAACCACATCCGGCGTCGCTGCCCCTCCATCTTCCCCCTCTTCGCCTTCGCCAATGCGGCCCCATTCGGACAAAAAGTCCAGAAAGCAATTCGTAGAGTGTGAGTAGTGTCGGCTGAATGGCAGCAGGGAGAACTGCCTGTGTAGGAATATCACCGCGTAGCCTTGCGAAAGGAAGTACTCGGCGGACGTTGCACCACGGGTGCCGGCGGAGAAGTTGTCGATGAAGCGCACCGTCTGGTTCTCCAGCGGGACCGTGGTACCGCCCGAGGTCAGCAGCACTACACGCCGAGAGTGAGCGTGGTGGTGGGTTACGAAGGCGTTGGCCTGCGCCGTGTGTTGCGAGAGGGTGGGGGGCGGGGGGTTGCTGGAGAAGTAGTGGGATTCGGAGGTTGAGGAATCGGCCATGGTAATTCTGCTTTTTTTGCTGGTTGGTTTGGGGTGGGGTGGGTTGTGAATGGTGGGGGTGAGGGGAGTGCGGGACACCGGATCGGAGCGGATGTACGAGTACCGGTACTCGAATACAGTACTATCGTGCTGTACCGTAGTCCGATACGTTCGGTCAAGGCTTGTTTCGCTCTCCTCTCCTGCTTGCGCTCGGTATCTGGTGGTCCTCGTCGCCTAAGTGGAGGAAGACACTCAACCTCGGAATCAACTTTCCGATTCCCGCCCTCTTTGAGAAGTCCGAGACACTTCTGCCGCGACCGACCGACCAACTGATCTACCGGTAGCCACCGGACTGACGCAGTTTGCAGCAAGCAATTATCTTCAGCCCGTCTTTGTCGCTATCCGCACGCACAGAGACGAAGGAATCAAACAGAGTACGGTAGAGCGGTTATCGTACCCACCCAACTCAAGTGCTTGCAAATGTTGTCGAGGGGTTTCCTGGTTTTCGCTTATTTTATTTTTCCTTTTTCTGTTTTGTAGGATCGTGGATCCAAGTAAGTTTAACTTGGCCGAGGCGGGTTGAGGTGAAGTGAAGTGAGGCCTTGCCCACAGAGTAAAAACGTCACCAGTTTAATGGCTGTTCGTATGTGGGATTCCCCCGCCGACCTCGGTTCCTAGTTGTGTACTGTACCGCCACCTCGGGAACAATGGCTTTGTCGTTTGTGGCTTTGTCGTTTGGCTAGTGCGAACTCATGGCTATATTTTCGAGGTCACGGGAATTATACTGTATCATACGGTAGACTATAGTCCCGTTGCTGGCAACTTGCTGCAGTACAGGTTGCGGGCTGGAACGATTCTACTACTCTGTACGAGTGGGATACCGATAGTGATGGGTTATTTTTGTCCTTGCGCAGGTAAAGAATTCATGTGTTCAGAGTGCCGGTACTTCTGAAGATTTCTCGCGGGGATTAGCCTGATAACCTTCACCTTCCCTTCCCTCCCGTGTTATCATAACGCATCGTCGTATTACAAGCTTACCTATCCCGCTTCATTGTGCCCCTTGGGCCGTCCAGGCCAGGCCAGGCAGCCGTGTTATCCTCTCATCATCCTCTTACCTACTTCTTCACCCACCCTCACTCGAAAAGAAATTATCACAATAACCAGACCCACTATCCCCCCAAAGAGAAGGAAAAAAAAAACCCCCACATGATCCATCTGTGATACTTGTATCCTCCCCACCGAGCCGTGCGTGATAATGGTGCTTGCATGAATACCCGCCCCTTCCGGTACCGTACCGCACTGTACTACAAGTACAGTACTGCAATTCACCAATTCAAATAAATAATACCCTTTCTTGCAGAGTGGGGAATTTACGACACGGTGCGGATGAAACATTCACCCCGTTGGCCACCTCGGAAGTCGGGCGGGTATGGGATGTGATATGGTAGGGTTTCGGGGGCTTTGTTGGTTGGGTATGATATGATACTATCGCACATTCAAGGATTGGTGCATGTTTGTTTTGTTGGTGAAGGCCGGAAGGGGGACAGCGCTGGCTACGGTCGGTATGCTATTTACGGGCCTTTGGGTGATGGGTTTGTTCGAGGTTGTGACGGATGGTGGAGTAGGAAACGGTGGGTGCTGGTTCTGTGATGCTTTGCGGAAGGGTAGGGAAGGAATGAATAAAGGGGGGGAGCGAGAGCAAGAGAGGGGTTGATAATATTATAACACTAACTAATGGAATGGGAAATCTTGATCGCGACTGGGAGTGTGGGTTAAGGTAGGGTAAGTTGTAGGCTATCCCTACCACCCGTCTGGCCGTCTAGCCGAGTCTGGGGCCGTAAGGTCCCCTGTGAGGACGTTGCGCTGCACTGGAAGGCGTGCCGCACTGCACTGCCAGAACTCGAGTATGGAACTCTGGATAAGTCAACATTGTACAGTACGAGTATCATCTTCGGCGGGCGGGGCAGCAACATCACCGCGCGGTCAATTGGTCAGTTCTCCCCTTCTGTCCATCGAAATACATTCGGTACATACTCGAGCACATACCGGTAGATATGGTGCCGCATCCGAGAGTGCCGAACCGCCCGATCGTGTGCGGTACAAGTAAGGTACAATCGACACACGAGCATGCTCGCATGTACTCGAGTACCTGAAGATACTTATAGTACCTACCGTACATTTACGAGTACTACCGGTAAGGTACAGTACTACCGGTGGGGTACAGTGCCCAAGCTCGTGGCTCCCAAGTACCGGTGGTACCCGGAAACAGGGACTCGCGAAAGAAATAGCAAAAATAGTTGCCTCTCTCGGCGCCCCATATGATACTTGTACCGTACGGCACTGTACTCGTACGGTACTGGTACTGTACTTGCACAAACCCGCGACTCCTGTTTTCGGATACCTCTTGCTAGTTATGAGTATCGTATCCGGACATTCGGCAAGGACTAAAACCCCTCAAAGGGAATGACGAAGAAGACAGGGTACCGTATTTGGACTTGAAAGAAGTGGTTTGTGCTCCGCCCGCATTTTTGCTTGTGCGGTATTGGCTCTCGGATGAATGTGGTAGCAAACGGGTTGTAGGATGGTGTATGATATCGTGTTGGTGGGTTGCAGAGCCGGTACAAGTACTGTACGAGTACTGTAGGAATTAGTTTTCCTGTTCGTTGTTGGAAAAAATAACCGAACCCATCTGGTTTAATACTCGAGCAGCAACGGGTACAACTCCTAGCGAACCTTAAAGGGACGAACCTATTGATCTACATAAAATATTTCCTACTGCTACAAGTACTGTACTACTCGAGTAGTACTCATATCATCCCTGTGCCTGGATCTTTTCATTTGTTTTCGCAGGCCAACAATACTCGGGTACCTGTATTTAGGGGACGTGCATAAGGGAGGTGGACTCGAATCTCACTGGTCAAGATTGGGGGTGCATCACCATACTCGTACTGTATTATAAGCGCCAATCTTGGCGCTTTCGTTGATGGTGGAAGGAGAGAGGAGGATCTGCCTGGTGGCGAGTACGAGTACTCGTACAATGCCGCACAGTGCTCTGGCCACAGGGGCTCTTGGATCGGCTGGGCCAATCAGAGTCTGTTCGCCCCGCTCACCCTTAACCCCGATGCGATTTAGTATGCTCGAGTACAGTACTTGTATGATATCCGTATTGTGCTCGTTGCAAGTGATGGCACTTGTGTCATACTAGTACATACTGTGCTCTACTCGAGCACCGGTATGATACAGTACCGTACTCCTCCCGCAAGCCTGCCCAAGATCTGAGGATGAGGAAAAAAGATGAGGACAAGAATAAGCCGAACCAAAAAAGGAAAACCACACCGCCAAATTTTGTTCCAGTGCCTCCGAAAATATGATAATACGTCACGCAAATAAATCGGAATACTATCATTTTTAGTATTCTGCCTATACTCGAGCACGGTACTACTTGTAGCAAGACACTGTACTCGAGTACCGTACTGTTCTGGTGACTTAGACGCGTGTGAGTGACACCCTCCTATCCCAATTGCGCTGCTACTCAAGCGCAGGTACCGCATGCATCCACTGAGATGCTCCGGTCGATAGATCTGCACCTAACTTAGACATCTTCACTTTCTCTCCTCCTCTCGGCGTTCCTGGTTGCGGAAAAGGGAAGAAAAAAAAAGAGAGAAAGAAAAAGAAGGAAAAGGAAAAAAGAAAAAAAGAAATAAAAGGGTGGGGCAGGTGCGGCATGATCAAGGGGCAGCCCACAGACAGAATTAGCCCAAATGGTATTTTAACTGGCTTGCATCTTGCAAATATACTTCTACTCGAGTACCTCACTGCCCGCGTTTCTATTTATTTATTCGCATTAAATTTTTACACTTTCCCGGGAACAGGGAAAGGAAAGTTATTACTCGCTGGGCTGCTCAGAGCTTAGCAACCACCAATGTTGTGGGCAGAGCGGCATTTTGAGGGGTGTTATCGAGGAAAGGGGAGCGCGGGGGGGGGTTTTACTCCAGCATAGGATCACTTGCAGTATGGACGGTAAAGAATGGATCAGTGTGGAACGACGGACGATGAACTTCGTGTCTCGTGGTTACTCGTGCATACCCGCAAATAAAAGTACCGATACCGTACTTTTGAAGCCTTAATTTGGTCGGCGGCGGTACAGTACCGATACAAGTACTGTAGTGGTGGAGCACCTTTGCTGAAAAGAGGGAAAATCGGAGGCCTAACACGCACAGCACCGCCTCCTGTGAAAATGGGAAGCGCTGGGGGGATGCTTGCACCGGCACTCGTAGAGAGCACGAGGTGTGGTACCGGTACTCGAGTATTGATTCCCGTTGGATCGGTTACAGGGCCTTTTCTTTTTTTGGTATGGGGGCTTTTTATTGGTTGGGTTTTATCGGTGGGTGTTTGGGTGGTGTGTTTTTATTGGCGCCCAAGGGCCTGGTTAGACTATCAGATTTTGCATCAGCTCAGGGGAGTTATGGTGGAGGTCGGTCAGCTATGGTAATGGATTCGGGGGATTGACGACGTTTGTGTAGCCGTAAGAGCGTTACTGTCCCATTCAGCACCTTCGCTCCCCACACTCGTCCAGGCACCAGGAACATTGTAATTGTGATCGAATCACCGCTACACTTTTTTCGCTAGTCTTGCACTTTATTGCGCTGGACTTGCCTTTTTTTTTTATACCGGTATATTTTTTTTTGTTCCCCTTCGTATTCAATCAACATTGAGTGCTTCCTTCTCGTTGGCCGGGGTGGGATTATTGGTTGGAGATGGGGAAAAAAGGTTTGCCTTCTCCTGTTCCAGCGCCCAGGGTCTCCAGTGATTCCCTTGATCCTTGAGGAGACTGACCTAAATTTTTTTTACCAAATTTCTTGACTGCTGGGTGGGATCTGAGGTCAGCCCTGGAACGATCTACCTTTACGGTACTTGTATCATAGGGAGAGAGAGAGAGAGGTCCTCTCAACCAGTTGTACAGTACTATAGACCATTTCCTTAATTCTTCCATGCCGGTATCTGTTCTATTGCAGGTCCTTCAGCTCGCTTCACGATTGGCTCCGGCGTCAATACCGTGAGCCAGCGGGATACCGGCAAGCCCTTTCCAATTGAAGAGCCGCAGAGATTTGCTTTGCTGTACTTGTAGTTGCGTGTGTGAGTGTGTGGGTGCGTTTGGTGGCTCAGTCCCCCCTTCCATTGCTGTTGGTCACCACTCCTTGAATCTCTCTCAACCCTGCACCCCTCTGCCCTGCCCGAGGTCCCTTTTAATAGTTCCCTCCCTCCCTTATCCTTCCTCTCTCCCTCTCCACCGATTTCCGGCACCACGCTCGTTGACCTACGGTAATCTTCTGCTGGAAGCCCCGAGTTTCTGTTCGTTTTGCAGCAGGACTCTTTCTGACGACCGGTTTTCACCACATTCTCATTCGTTCATTCATTTTTTTCTTGTTGAGCCTTTTTCCGACAAGGCCGTTTGAATTTATCACACTCGTTCAGGTATGGCAGTTGTTTAGCCCTCCCCCTGTCTTGCCTTCTTCTTGTACATCGGTACCTCGCTGCATCTGAGATGTCTTTAGTGCATGTGCGAGGCGGGTATACGGAAGCAGAGAGATCTTTGATCCAGTGATCCAGTTGCTGGCCGCTCCAATCTGCAACGATCAGTCTGCACATGACCTTGCGTGCATTTGAATTATATGAAATTTTGCTATTTTCTGCTACTCCCAATATCCAGCCTCCTCCGAACATTCAGCATTTAATACTGTGCTCCTTTCCTGATTCTCCTGATTTTTTTCTTCTTTTTTTCGCTAAGCAATGCTTGGTTTCGTTTGTCGACTTGATTGAGACGATAGCTAACGCAACGGAACGAACAATTAGTGCTCTTTCAAGCACAGCTTAGCTCATTATGGTCACCACGAAGACCGCTCTCATCCTCTCGGCACTTTTCGCCCATGGCGTCTTTGCGAATATCCCTTTCCCCGATCCCTATATCGAGTGCGATCCTGGGGCTGCGGAGGAAAAGTGTTTGAGGGGACAATACTGCAGTGAAGAGGATGAACTGTGAGTTTATCCCGTTGTCTTCAATCCCATTGTGTTTTTGACATTTTGGGGCTTTGTCATTAGTCTTGGTCTTATCATTGGTGACTGACTATGAGATAGTTGCAAAAGTCCTGCCCCTCATGAACTCTTCCGTCGTATTGCTCGTCCCAATCCTATCCCTGCTCCCGGTGATTTCTCTGTTGATGGGAGGTGTGGGCCTGCCAACGGCGGTTTGATCTGTAACCCGAACTCTCCCAATTATGTTGGAGGTTGTTGCTCAGTAAGTCTATCAAATGGGTCCCTATTCTTTATGCATTTATATTGACCGTGTTTGTGTAGCAAGCTGGATGGTGCGGAAACACCCCTGCATACTGTGGCGCCGGGTGCATTTCTGGATGTACAAGTACTTCAGCGGGTGGCGGTACTCCTGCTCCGACTGGTGGCGCTGCTCGCCCTGATGGCCGTTGCGGAACGGAATTTGGTGGCGCTACTTGTGCTGGTTCTGCTTTTGGAACTTGTTGCAGTCAGTACGGGTATGTTGATCTTTACAAGATTCCATTCTTCTGGAGTCTGCTGACACCTAGATAGGTGGTGCGGCACCGGAGATGCATACTGTCTTCCAGCCAATGGATGTCAGAGTGGGTGCACTGGCACCACTCCTACCACTTCTACCCCTCCTTCTGTCCCTCCTGCCACTGCCCCGACAACTACCAGCAGCACTGGTGAGCCGGTTTTGGGGGCACCTTCTTCCACCGGTGTCAACCCCAACCCCACTGGCATTCCTACCACTGATGGTACTTGCGGTGCCACTAATGCTGGAAGAACCTGCGTTGGTTGGGACAAGGGAGAATGTTGTTCGATGTATGGTTTCTGCGGTAATACTGATGCTCACTGTGGTGATGGATGTCAATCTGGTCCTTGTAAGGCTGGTGGATCTCCGCCGGCTCCTGGGGCATCGCCGGCTCCTATTACCAATGGAGGAGAATTTACGATTATTGGTCAATCGGGTGTTCCTGCCATGCACGCTGGTCTTCTTCCTAACGGTCGTGCCATCTTCTTGGACAAGGTCGAGAATTACACTCAATTGAAGCTTCCTAACGGCCAATTCGCTTACTCTTCTGAGTACAATCCTGATGACAACACTGTTGTTCCATTGGCTTACAATGTTTGTGTGCCTCTTTACTAAATTTCGGATCATAGCTGACGCTCTAATTTAGACCAATGCCTTCTGCGCCGGAGGTATCTTCCTTGCGAATGGAGATTTTGTTTCGCTTGGTGGCAATGCACCACTGGATTTCATTGACCCTACAGTTACCAATGGCTTCGACGCTATTCGTTACATCACCCGCTCCTCGAGTGACGCCTCTTTCAACGGTCAAAACTGGCGCGAGCCTGGAAACAAGTTGGCTAGCAACAGGTGGTATGCTTCGGCTCAGATTCTTGCCGACGGGAGAATATTTGTTGCCTCTGGAAGTTTGAATGGACTGGATCCTACAGTTCCTGCAAACAACAACCCCACGTGAGTCTCTCTACTGGTGTTGCCGCTTGATTTACGGAAACTAATTCACCACAGATATGAAATATTGAGTGCTGCTGGTGTCAGTAACGGAGTCAATGTCCCTATGGATATCTTGGTTGCTCACCAACCTTACTATGTAAGTGACGCTAGGTCTAGTGCTGTATTGGGATGCTAATCTCGAGTAGATGTATCCTTTCATGCATCTTCTCAAGAACGGAGAGTTGTTTGTCTTCACCGCCAAGTCATCACAAATCTTCAACATTGGTACCAACTCTATCACCCGCCAAATGCCCGATTTGCCGGGAGATTTCCGCACATATCCCAACACCGGTGGTAGCGTCATGTTTCCTCTTACCAGCGCCAATGGATGGAACACCAAGGTCATGATTTGTGGTGGTGGTCCTTATCAAGATATTACCGCCCCTACTGATCCCAGCTGCGGCGTTATTGCGCCCGAGGATGCAAACCCTACCTGGGAGATGGATGCCATGCCTGAAGGACGTGGTATGGTCGAGGGTGTCTTGCTTCCTGATGGATCTGTCCTATGGCTCAATGGTGCCAACCGTGGTGCTCAGGGATTCGAGCTTGCTACCAACCCAACCCTTGCCGCCCTCCTTTATGAACCTACCAAGGCAAAGGGAGCACGCTGGACGCAACTTGCCTCTTCCACTATTCCTAGGCTGTATCACTCAGTTGCTCTCTTGTTGCTTGATGGTACCGTTCTCGTCACCGGTAGCAACCCGCATGAAATGCCAATCCTGGAAACAAGGCCTGGAGTTGCCTTCATTACTGGTGCGCATTACAAACCCACACATGTGTGAACTTGCGCTAACTTTTTTTCTTCTAGATTTCCGTGTCGAGAGGTTCACACCTCCTTATCTTCAGGGTGCCAAGGCCACTCAGCGTCCGTCCGCGATGGCCCTCTCGACTAAGAATCTTCCGGCCAACGGGTCTACTTTCACCATCTCATTCAATGCTGCTACCACTACCCAGGGCATTAAGGTCGCCCTTTACTATGGTGGCTTCGTTACCCATTCTGTTCACATGGGTCACCGCATGCTCTTCCTCGACAATACTGGCTTCGTCGCTGGCACTGCAGCTCAAACTATTACCGTCACAATGCCCCCTAACAAGAATGTGGTGCCTCCTGGGCCCTATGTTGTCTACGTTGTTGCAGATGGAACTCCATCCGTCGGTCAATTCGTGACTGTTGTCTAGGTTTTTTAGAGGGAAATGCAAATGGTGGTTCTGTTAGTAATAGTTAATTTTTTTCCTCCATGAACCAATCCTCCATGAGTTAGCTGTATACTTTTTCTATTTCTATATCCATTTTTTTGTAGTTGGCTTGGTTTCTCTATGCGGTGCATTTTGTACAGCCATGCTTAGGTCGGTCGTCGTCTATGGAGGGCGATTCAGGAGATGGGGGATAGATTTTATATTACGAATTCAAAGAGTCCTTAAGAAGCTGCCTCTTGCAGATAGCAAATGAGTGTATCGGGTGAAATTGTACGATTATGATACTTTCGGTTCAATCTCGCGCGTGTGTGTAACTTGGCGGGAACTGGTGTGATGGTGGTGAGCTCATGGAAACGGTCGGCGGTGCGCAGCACAAGGCATCGGGATTACGGTGGTGCAGCTGAGCGTGGTATCATGCGTAGCGCTTGCCTGACTGCAGGGGTAGGGTAGAGAGGCCTTGAGAAATGGGGCGAGTGAGCCGCCTTGTCTTGCGAGTCCGTTTGCGAGTCCCGCTTAGGCGGTCACGGAGAGTCACTCGGATGGGATGTTGTAGTAGGGAGTACAGACAGGCTTAATTTCTTGGCTGTGAATCGGGTTTAGAGTAGTGATATCGGACAGAATGTCTATGTGGTCGTGATGGGGGCATGTCTGTATAGTACAGTTGGTGGGTTTCTTGAGAGCATGATAGCCGGACTGTGCGTGCTGGGTATAGATGAATGAAAGGGGTAGGGGTAGGGGAGTATTTTCGTGATTATTTTTACGATGTGGTGTACATGGCGTAATCGAGTTGCGCTATCGTGTGGACTTC